ACTTATCAAATTTTGATGACTTAAGGAAAGTTTTATTAATATTTTCTTGGAAAATGTAACTCTCAAGAACACTTCTTTCTGTTTTCATATACTGAAATCAGTAAATCAAATATACTGTGTAAATATATTTTCCTTTAAAAATCCTTTCCAAAAGTAACTAGTTGATATTTAAAAACTGCTTATATTTTATTTCAGAAAATTTTCAATTAAGTTTTCTTAACATTATAAAGAAAGCTGTTGTGGAAAAGTATTAAAAATGATTGAACCTTTCAAGAAAACACCAAAATTTGAATGTTAAAATGTAGACAATAAACAAAGAGTGTTACTAAATTATTTATTTAATAATGAACTTACTAAGAGCAACGTGAAATTACTAAGTTGTTTATGTGACCAAGGGGCAAGCCATAATGAAATTTAAGAAATAAAAAATTTTACATAAAACTACCTAAACCTACTAAAAAATGTTTAAAAAAACCTAATACCTGATTCTGTACAATATTTTGTTTTTAATTTTTATATTAAAGTGTTTTTCATTATAGCTCTCAATTTCTAGTGTTTCAGGGAAAAGACAACTTTATATAAAATACAACCATGATATAACACGTGGCAATGGTGTTTTATTACATGTAGTTTCCCCTTTATGGGTCCAGGCACTTCTGAGTTAGAAGTATTTCCAACTAACTTTTAACCTTAAAATAGGCAAAACAAAGAAACAAACAAAAACAAGCAAAAAAAACCCTATAACTACAGTGACAATGATAAAAAATATAAAATTAAAAATATTGATAGTTACAGTGAAACTGTTTTGTATTCATAAATCAATTGTTGTTGCTATAAGATTTAGTATCTAAAAGATACTAAAATGCTCATTTATGACAAGGACTGGAATAGTGTGATTATGAAACATAAAAATAAGGAGACTAAGGTATCTGAGTGAATATTTTCCCCACTCAAATTATGATGATAAATACTAGTCTTTACAAAGATATAATTTCAGAATGAATTAATTTCATGATAGATCTTGAGAGGTTACAAGAAGTTTCTTTCTGGGACATTCAAAATATTATCGCAGCAATTCAGATTGTCAGTAAAAGCTTAAACAAATTTGCTGATAATCCTGTTAATGACCTAGGTCAAGTGTTAACTGTTGTGGGTTATAAAATAGTGAAATTAAAGTTTCTTCTACCTTCAGGCAAATAGCACAGTTAACCATGGGGTGGGGGTGGGGGGGATGTAGGGGCTAGCTATTAGGAGAGCCTATTAAATTACAGAAATGTATAATGCATTCAATTATTTAGTCTAGCATGATGAAATGCTATTAAAAGCAAATGTAAACCCTCTTCCAAACCAAGAAAACTTATAAAGATGATATGATAGCTAAGTTCTCTATTAATGTTTCAATCACTGTGTGTTCTTATTTGAGGAAAAGTGTTTATATATGAAAAGTGATGCCAATTTAGTTTTCATATATAAACACTTTTTTATATACAATTTTTAAAAATGGGAAAAACTTACTTATTTATTTGTCCCAACATTTGCCTAATACTCAAAGGGAGACATAACATTCATATGCAAGTTTTACTTTTAAGCTTTAAACAATCACATAGTCTCCTCTAGTATTTAGAATATTTATGTTTAGAGAAATACATTTCATAGAAATAGTGTCCCAGCCATTCAAAAAAAAGGCTTTAAAAATAGTATATAAATATAAATATTTAATTTTATTCAGTTTTATTTTTTATACTCTGATTTTCAATATAAATAACTTTCTGGATAAATGTTAATGCAATTTATAAACTCTTTTGGATAGAAAAAATGATTCCTGTATTATGTACTGATGAATTAATAGTGCATTGTACCCCAGACTGCCATCAATATATAAAAGTGTTTAGTGCAATTAACCAATTCTAAAAGAATTCTAAAATTCTAAAATTATCACAGTTGATAATTTTATCTTATATTCAGTTTTAACTTTATTCCAATGTTATTTCTGTTTACCAATAATAATCCATCTGGTATGGAAACAGGGAGTAAGTATATAAACTTTTAAAATAATACATACTGTAGCAATCATATTTTGCCATAAAAATAACTGATTTCCCATTAAAAGTCTTTTTTTAAGCCATGTACACAGACATACCTGATAAGAATTTAATAAAGTTTAATAAAGTTATGTTTAAGTATACAGTATACATGTTTAAGTTTATAGGCTAACTAATGAGTAAAGTGCTCATTGGAATTATGAATATTTATTATCATTGATGAGTCTCTATTATCACCTGGAGTCATTTTCTTGAAAGCATATAAGAAAGATATTTGTAAATATATTAATAAAAGGAAAATTCAGATTAAACATTTTCTAAGTTATTTTTCTTACCAGTTATTTTTCTTACCTGGCATTTCAATATTGATAGTTAATGGGCAAATCTCAGATTTAAAAAGAAATCACACAACTGCAAATATCCTAGCAATTAAGTCAATGGCCTGGTTTTGTTCTCATTTGGTTCTCTCAGGCCTAACTTCATAATAGATTGAAGAATATATTCTAGTAAATATGCTCCAGTAAATCTCTAGCACATTTTTTATAGTGCTGAAATGTTTCAAGTACATTATTTTAAATACAGTCTCGTATTTCATATTTCAAATTTCAAAAATTATCTCAGAAAATGATGTTAATATTATTTTTAAATCATCACTCCTCCCATATATAAGTTTTCATAAGAATTGCTTTCTATTGAAATTACACTTAGAAAATTTGCCTGGAAATTTTGGCATACACTTGGCATTTTCACTTTTTATGTTATTCAGCACAACTATGAGCCAAGCTATGGATTAATATTTAAAATCTCACCCAAGTATTACCTAAGTTAAATCGTCTTTAATTTGTTTTAAAGCTTCCCTTCCCAATCACAGGAAGGAAAAGAGACACTACCCATAGGACACAATCTGGAAAGAATAATCCCGTGAATGATGAATAGATAAACTTTTATCCAAGCAAATTAAATGTAATTATGTCAGCTTTCTGAATACATTTACTTTTATATATATATATATATATATATATATATATATATATAGTTAATATACCTGTTTGTATAATTATGTACATCATGTCCTCAAATATACATGAGGTGAGGCTTATAAGCAATTTGCATTTGATTAACCCTGCTTCATTAAATTAATACTCATTAATTTTATGTAAGTGTGCAATACTTTGGTGTCTTTTTTTTCTCTAGTAGTTTACTTAACGGTTATGTTTTCCAGAAAAATACTATCAGCTACATTCTTGTGCGTAATTAATTCAGTAATACCCATTATCTGTATAGTTCATAAACGTTCTATCTGAGTTCATAAATATTCTATCTGGAAAACATAATTCATCATGGCAATGCGGGAATTGTAATGCTATTTTTCTAGTGATTGTTAATATTTTAATATTTACAAAAAACAAAAAAATTTAAAACATTAATTTTAATGTATTGATGTGACCTACTATACACGTTACCCATTGTACAAATGACCACTGTTACCTTTCATTCAGAAAAATGGTTGACCCTTACTTTCAAATAAACATTTTAATTTTGTTTTTAAAAGAAAAAGTCATTTGTGGGTAAGATAATTTTCTTGATCTTTATGTTTTAGAATTTTTATTTTCTCAGTAAAAAAAAAGAAAGATACAGAAAATTTAATGAAATCTGCCAAATTGATAAAGGCAGTCGTAAGAAATGAGATAAATTACTGCTCTATTAACAGTGAAAGTAGGTCACTGAATATCAGGCAGTTTTTACATTTAATGAAAAACTTTCTACATATCTTGTTTTTACTTGTGTTTTTCAAAATAAGGTACACTCTATAATACACAGCAGTATTGTCTTAATAATATATTTTCTAAGGAGTGATGTATATAACATGTTTACACATCAGTTGCTCAGTATTGTTAACTTTCAAAATAAATTGCTAAATGTTGTTATAAATTCAAAATCACTAAGAGGAAATTAGTGTTGTAAGTGTGGCTTTCAACTCATCAATTATTTAGAGAAGTTTGTTTTAAGAGTTAGTGACTGTATTCACAAGTCATTAGGAATAGATCACAAAACGTATACAGGAGAAAGACAGTGTGTGTATTAAGTAGACGATCTTACAGAGCACACTGGTGTCCTTAGTATTAGGTTTGCACTTTAACCCATTGAAAAGAAATGAATGCCCATGACAAGGATAATAAATAGCCCAACATCAAGGAAATGGCATTTGCTGCATATGAACAGTCTCTCTTAATCTACTATTCCGTTATTTACTGTATCTTCCAAGGAGCTATTCACTATTCATTAAATACATTCTCCTATTTGTATATAAGCCTTTAAACAAAGACAGAATGCAACCTCAGCTTACTGTAATTCCTGTAAATATGACTTTGGTTACAGTGGCACATGCTGCTCGTCAGAACCTGGACCACGGAGCCAACTATCGCCTGGCGGCAGACACCTAACTCCGGCGCAGCCCTTGCAGCACAAGCACACGCACCTCCGCTTCGACAAACTCTCATTTCCCTTCAGTCCGCCCATCCACGCCACGATCCCAAGGAGGAACAACCTGTCATCACCTTTAAACACACTACAGAGTCTACAGAGGAAGGCTGAGTTTTCTTCCAAACTTCTCAAAGTACCACATGGTCATAATTAGAAAATAAAATACTGCCTTGGCCATTTGGCAATTAACGTAACTGGGTTGCGACGCTGGAGGATTTTCTGTCTTTCTTTCTGGTCAAATTGGCCAACAAGGTCATTGCTCGAATTGGTATCAGATTAAAAACACATTTGGAAGGTTTCGACCATCGAAAATTATCTCCCGAAGTGTTTTAGAAAAGACAGCTGAAAAAAAAAAAAAAAAAAAAAACCAACCAGGCCCACCGCGCGCGGACTCCCGAGCACCTCCCGACGCGCCCGGCCCGGGTGGGAGCGCGGGCCGCGGGCCGGGCTGCGCGCGGCGGGCACCTGGCTTACCTTCATTGGGGGGCTGCGGCCCCGCGTCCCCGCGGCAGCCGAGCGCGGAGCAGCCGAGCAGGAGCAGGACGCAGAGGCGACAGTCCATGCTGCTGGTGCACAGCGCGGCCAGAGCGGCACATCTCCAGCAGGCGCGCCGCGGGCGTGCGGGCGAGCGCTCCGGCCGCCGCCGAACTTACCACGCTCCGCGCGCGGCGCGCGGCAAGTTTGACACGGGGAGGGGGCGGGGCCGGGCCGCCGCGGCGCGCGCCCCGCGGGGCGCGTCCGGGTCCTAGCGCCGCCGGCCGGCTCCGCGGCCCGGAGCCGCCGGGCAGGGGGCGGGGTGCCCGCGGCGCGGGAAACGCTGACGTCGGGCTGGGACCGCGCCGCGGAGAAAAACGCACCGCGTTCCGTGCTCCCCGAGAGTAGCCGCGGTACCGTCTGCTGTCCGGGCTCTGCGGCGGGGTTCGCCGAAGACATCCGAGGGTCACATGGCCATGGCCTGTGCAGAAGGAGCCGACACGCGAGAGAAGCGTGCGCTGTCGAGAACGGGCAGCGTGTCTTTAAAACGTCAGTCGTGCTTGTGGCGTGGAAATGATCCTTACCGTCATTCCTTTACTGTGTGCTGTGGGATCCTGACTCCCTGAGTTCTTTGTGGTTCCGACAGACACTGTTACACAGCCGGCATCACAGAGTCTCTCTCTCTCTTTTTTTTTTTTTTTTTTTTTTTTAATTTTTAATTTTTTTTATTGCGTTTTAGGTTTTGGGGTCCATGTGAAGAACAGGCAAGGTTGTTGCATGGATACACTCGTGGCAGTGTGATTTGCTGCCTTCCTCCCCATCACCTGTATCTGGCATTTCTCCCCATGCTGTCTCTCCCCAACACCCCACCCCCGCTGTCCCTCCCCCATTTCCCCCCAACAGACCCCAGTGTGCAGTGCTCCCCTCCCTGTGTCCCTGTGTTCTCATTGTTCAACACCCTGCATTTCTACAGCACACGGCATCGGGGCTTTTAAATAGATCTGGTACCGTGATTCTCAGCGCACATGGAGCATACTTTGGTTTTTAAACAGGGAAATAACCTTTATCACCCTAGGAAAGTGAAGAAGTCCAGCCCCAGCCTTCAAGTCTTACAAATCAAACCTGAATTTCTCAACAATACGTATGCCACTCCCTTACCATCTCACATTAGGATCCCTGGGTTCCGTGAGAGAAACAAGGCATAATTCACAGCTCCCCCATTCAACTTTCAGCCACTGATAATCTGATAATATTGGAATATTCTTATGCTTTAACTTTCTAAATCCAAAGGCTAAATAATAATGTCCTTGTACTTTCTCGCTTATTTTACACCATGGTCATCAATGGTCTCTGTTATTTCCAATCCCATTGCTGAACAACTTATTGTGATCTATTTCAGTCACAAAATTTTGTAATTTATATTTTAATAACTAGTATCACTTATGTTTAAAATATCCCCCCCCCAGAAAATCGTTACTCAGATATCCTTTCACCCACCTAGCTCTTCTTATTCTAAAAAGAAAACAAGATTATTAAATTCCTCTCACAACTTCAGAAGATAAAGGTATGCTGATAATCCAAAGATCAGTGATCAATTTTAGAACTCTTGGTAATGAAATTTAAATGAAACTTTCCAAAGGTCTTGCTAATGATACATTCATTTCACAAACACAATGATTTTAATTAGAGAATACAATGTTCACTTGAATTTAGGTTAACAATGCCAGATTATAGTTTGATGACTGGGGGTGGGGAGGTGGGGTGGATAGAAGGAGCCGGGGGAAGGAGACACCCTGCTCACTTGTCTGTGTGTGCCGGGTTACTCTGTGTCTCCAACTTCTTTCCACATTGTGTCACCAGAGACTCTGGAACCCTCCAGTGCCAAGTCTGTCAGAATTGAAAACAATAACAGATACTGCACAGAGAGCTCAGATAGTGGTGACTCTGCTGTTTTTCAAAGTTCTAACACAACACTTACATTGTTCCAAAGTTAGATACAAATTTTCTGAAACTTGAAAGAAACTAAAATCTTATCTGGAATTGACAATTTGAAAACATTTTGGAGAACCCGCCAATGTGCTGACACGCACATGGATTGACCCACCACACACACACACTCACACTCACACTCACACTCATGCTATTTCTCCTTTCACACTTGAAAACTTAAAAACTGCTTGTCACTGGGAAAAGAGGCATTCATGTTTGCAGAAAGCTACAGGCGTGGCAAAATGAGCACAAAGCAATACCTGGCCTGAAAATAGAACGCAAATGATACAGAACCTCTAAATTGTCAACTCCGTCGTGAAAAGTAAAAGATTTCCATTATGTGAGCACCATTCTGGACAGATGGGGAGGAACGAGTGAGGCCAACAAGCAGAGATGAGCGATCAGTTTGTTCATAGCAGAAGTGGAAATGACAGAGGTGAGGGCAGCAGGTCCAGGGAAAGCCTTATTAAGAAAGTGGTAGTGGAGTTGCAGCTTGAAGGATGGGTGGGAGTTCACTAGTAAGAAAACGTCTCAGGAGGCACTGCAGGCAGGCAAGACCAGAGAGTGCCCGACTGAGGCAAAAAAGAAAGCATTTGGCACCTATGGAATGTAGAGTATATTAGAGTATTTGTGGTAGAAAAGGGGCCACGAAAGCGGGTAGGGACTGGAGACAAAGTGTAGGGAAATATTCTTCAAAGGACAGATTGAAAACTGCAGAGATTTCGATGCCACACGTCAATGATTTTACAATATATTTTAGACCAAAAAGACACATCAGAAGCATTTCAGCAAGCAATAAATCGATCATGTCTCAGTGTGGCGACAACATTTTACTGATAGCAGAAAACAGGATGTCTCCACCTGGGCGCAATGCTTATTAAGAACTGACACCTGCTTCCCACCACAGACTAACTGGATCTAAACATCCGAGGTTGGGACCCTGGAATCTGCGATTTCACAAGCTTCTCAGGTAATCCTTGTGGTCCCTGGAGAACCGCTGCTCGGTGCGAAGGAGGGAATGTTAGAAGTAGGGCCAGTTAGACTTCAGGCTATTTTTCAAGTAAGACTAAAGTGATGAGGAACTGAACTAGGATCTCTCAGAAAGAAGCAAGATAAAAGGGAAAATGAGAAGACCATTTTAGGTTAAACAAACAAAACTCCTCCAAGAAAAACTGGATTTGGTACATAACTCAAGTTAGGAGTTAAAGAATAGTTCCCTGGGGGAGATGGCAATTGAGAGGAAACTAAACAGGGGCATTTTAAAGAAAAACTAAAAACAAGCTTTCTGGAGGGAACGACAAATGCCTCTCTTATTAGAGATTTTGAAATGGTGTCAGTGGGTATGGGAAAGAGCAGACAGTGGCTGGGAAGGAGCAGGGTCATGGAGAATCCCATGAGTTGCCCTAAAAAGCTTGGACAGGGTGCTGAGGGGCAAGACACTAGCTCAATTTGCATTTTAGAAAGATCAGTTTGACATACTTAAGAAAGGAGGAGAAAACAAAAGTGAAAACCTCAATTAGAAGGCAAAAGAGCAATTAGGAGCCCCTTGCAGTAGGCTGGTCAATAGCATGTAGAGGGTACCAGTGGGGCTCTTGAGATAGAGCTACCTAGGTCACTGACCTGGCTCTGCCATTCTTAGTAAAATCCAGATAATAACAGATCCTATCTTATCAGAATGTTGTAAGGATTATATCAGATTTGGGATGGTACAGATCAACGTGTTAGCCTAGTGTTTGACTTATTAAAAGCATTCAATACTGTTTTTTTTTTTTTTTCTTCTTAAATCTTGATCCAAAAGAGACATCTAGAGAATGTGACCCTGAGCAGTAACAGTATAAATGAAACCAGGTACAAATACGTGTGAGAATTGGCAAACTTCGTAATAGATTGATCATGAAAAATTAGGTAGATGGTAGTGCCTAGAAGGACTTTCAATTCCTGGCTTGAATGAGGAGTTAGTGAGAAGTAAGAGAGGTTTGAGGAGAAAAAACGGACATGGAATGTAAAGATTTCTGTTTTACATATGTCTAGTTGGAAAAACCTGAGGGAAAGCCAAGGATAAATGAAATATTAGGAGAAAAGAACTTTAATGCAAGTTGTTTCTTTTAAATCGTTAGTATATAAAAATAGATTGGGCATGAAGGCTCAGACCTATAATCCCAGCACATTGAGACTTCGAGGCGGGTAGATTGCTTGAGCCCAGGAGTTCAAGGCCAGGCTAGGCAACACAGAGAAATCCTATCTCTATAAAAACTGGCCAGGCATGGTAGCACACGCCTGTAGTCCCGAATACTGTGATGGCTGAGGTGGTAGATCTCTTTAGCTCTGGAGGCAGAGGTGGCAGTGATAGAGTGTTGGTAGGAAGATCAGTTGGCTGGCCAAGGATGAAGCCTTAGCATACACCAATATTTAAAAGGCAGGTAGAAATAAATAGCAAAGAACTAGAAGAAATAACTTATTAGAAGCCAACCTTGTTAAAATTTTGACAAATAAATTGTTAACTGGGATGCGTGCAAAAAAAATTCCAAAAAGGTGACTGAAAAGTCACAATTGGATTTGACAACATTCTGAAAGATGGATGAGGCCTTCTCCGAATCTGCTGCCCTTACCTCTATCCTTCCCCCTCCTATTACAGCTAAATTTATTGCTCTCCTCTGTTGACATCCCTCTTTTTCACACCTATCCAGAATGGTGCGTAGGTTATAGAAACTCTTTAATTACTGTTCGATGTCTCTTAATCTGGAGTGTCTACTATTTCAAGATCTTATATCGTTTACATTAATTCCCAGGTATTGCTTTGTGCTCATTTTGACACTCTTTTAAGTTTCCTTCAAACATGAATGCCTCTTTTCTGCAAGGAAGATTTGCATGACTTTGGTGATGCTTTGGGTATAATAATGGGACCACAAGTTCAATTAAGATAAATAAGTAAATGGTAAGTGAGGATACAGAAATACTACGTATCCCATGCTTTCAAGAAGGGAAGCTCAGAAGAGAAGACAAGCCTAGAAAGGAGGAAAGGAAGATCCAGTGATAGCATTATAAAATAGAAAAGGCTGGTAGGTTTCCTTCTCCCGTGCTTAGCTGATTAGTGACACAATTAACAGAAAATAGGGTGGTTCAAATTGGGGAAGTAGAAAAAAAGTGGGAAATTCACAATTTTTTTGGTTTAC